GTTTTAATTAGACCGATCACTTTTGTTATCTTCAACTTAACAGCAAGGCTTAACATCATCGATTCTTAATATCATTGATTCAGATTCAAGACATCAAGATTTGGAATTCTCTGTATAGGCAATTCTACAATAAGTTCGTAAAATATCGAATGAAGTAAGACAAGGGTCCCAGGGCAACGTGTTGACTCATGACCGCTTATAAGCTTTGAAGATAATGCTTATACGGGTCCTACGGGAATGATATTAATAAGCAGAGCTGATATTTAAGGACCTTTGATATATTCAAAATACAGTTTATTCTCTGTATAGAGAAAAAGGCAAAATGATATACAGATATGAAATGGTTAAGAAGACAAAAACAAATTCATGGTTCCCGAAAAATCGAAACATCGGGTAAGGTTTCGGGCAAATGTGTGGAATAATTATTTTACTGACAGGACATTGGGATTCTAGCAGCACTTTTTAAGCAAAATATATGTTTTTCGACTATATTATTAACTCAAAGAAATAATTAATCTCCGGGGTATTGTTGTTTTGTTAAGCTTTTTTATTAAGGAAAATTTCGCTATTAATAGAAGTCACTTGATGCCGTGGTGGTGGTGCACGTCTTTGTGTTAGACACTCTTCTATCTTTATATAATAGTGAATAATAGTTTACGTTTATCGGCAATTCTGGTAGATTATCAAACTTAATTTTCCTAAAAAAGTCTAAATTTCCCGAGAAATGACCTATATGCTTCCTTAACATACCCGCGCAGTCGGAACGTCTTGCGGGTAACCGATTAGCAATTCTGTAAACGACTGCCAACCCTACATATAATAAAAAAAATTAATGAATATTAATGATGGAGCAGTCAGAGGGAACATCTTTAATTTTATAGGGAGTAGTCCTCAGATAGGGTAAGTGGTACCTTCTTAGGAAAATAAACAATTTTATCGTATTCATTTTAATAAAAGTAAATACACCTTATGAAAAACACACACAACCATGGCAAGATTCAGTAGAACAGTGATCAGACTTCATATATCATTTTATCTGTTTTTATGAGTTGCTGACTTTTACAGCTTTCATATAACAAAACAATGATTATATGTGTTTTCGTACAACACCTATTAGATACTAGAAACCCCCCATGGGATGACAATATTGCCCTCCACTCGCCAGGCAATATAACATATTTTTGGGGCTAGCATAATCAATGTTGCCCTTCATCAGAGTCAATATTTGTATAATATCACATCGATCTCTAGTACATTAAGCATTTGAATCAGGACTTGTGAACATTCACCTTTCTTCACGTTCTCTTGGTTCATTGGTCTACTACCCATTAGTAGATCAAGAGATTCTTAAAGAATTAAAGCGTTTACACTACTATATAATCATAACGTCACAGTCCTAGCACTAAAGCCACTCGCCCAGTGGCCATAAAATGCGTAATTTAGGAAGAAACACCATTACTCATCATAACTATATACATAGGTCATCGACTTCATACCCAAAAGCAGAAGAGATTATTTTCAAAGAACTACCACATTTTCAGTACATAATCAATAGAGCCTTGCCCGAACATCAGAAACCCTGACTCAGGGGCCATGAAATTCACAATTTCAGAAGAGGCATCTTTTCTCATCATAGTTCATCGGCTTAATACCCAGGAATATAGGAGATCTTATAACCATTAAATCCTGCCTTAACAACAAAACGCCTGGTGAAGTGTATTATTACAAGCATGCAAACAGTTTGAATGATTGATGTCGAGGAGTACAGAAGATTTTCAAAGGAAACATATGGAGATAACGAACAGTATTCGACATCAAAGTCTATAAAACAATAAAAAATAGGAGCAGAGCAAACACGGACCTCCAAAATATTAGAGGTTGGCCAGGTGCCATGAACAGCCGTGTGCTCCTTGTCATGATCGGGAAATAACGGGAATATCCGTCGTCGGAATAACTCATAAAAATTTTATTCAATCTTTAAGACATCCTTTTTCGACTATAATTTCATCATTAAAAGACCGACGTTAGCTCTTACTAACTTCATACATTTTTTTTGCATTTTTTTTTCAAGCAAAATAAAAAATACTTTATCTGCAAATAAGACACAAAAAAAATTGGCTTTAAATTTGCGTTAGTAAATGCATAACCTAAATGTCTAATAAAATATGTAAAGAAAGGCTGGATAGACATTTCAATTGAAATAAATATTTATGAAAACGAAACAAATTATTTTTGAATATCTTTAAACCTATGAATAAAATCTTCATAAACTAGTTATAGGTAAGAAGAATATGTTAGTCATTCATATTTTATAAAAATAAATTAACTGATATTGCGAAATTTTAAGGAAAGTAATTATTTGAATATTTGGACCAATCCCGATAAAAATTAACATTAAATAAATAAAAAAAAATATAAATAGCTTTTTTATGGATTTACTGACAAGAATTTCATTTTATTAATATTCAGTTAGTTTTAAACAAGTTACATATAAACAAACTAGTCTTCTAATTTCCTTACAATTCTAGGTTAGGTAAGTTTCATTCCGGTCAGGATTGATAAAAATTAAAATAATTTCTTTAAACTTTATTTCATTTTTTTTAAATATGATTGAGTAACATTTCCTTTGTAGCTGTTAGGTGTCTTTAAAATATTTTAAATATCATCCATAAGTTTTGAAAGTATTCTCAAATGATGTTTTCTTGTATATTCATAAATAATTTTTTAGCAAATAAAAATAAGTGTTCATCTGCAAAATTTTCTTTACACACTAAAAATAATTCAGAGCCACTATCAGCCTTTACATGCTGAAGCCATGACAAGTTCTTTCTCATATCATTGGATCAGAAAAATGAAGAGACGTAGAATAGAAAATTAATCACTTAGAAATCGTATTTATTCTTAAGGTATAGGATTCTTCTCTGGTTTCTGAGTAGATGGAATATTCAATGTATATTTGCTTATATGTCCTAAGATTTAAAAGACCATATTTTTCTTTTCTCGACACAATTTTACAACTTTAAATAGAAATGGTCAATTGTGTTTGAAAATTAGCAGGACAACTTTTTTAGCGGAATGATGGCGTATGAAAATATCTTCTTTTCTGCCTCTCAAAATTATTATAGAACTATGAATTTAGTTATATTTTTTACACAATCAAAGACTAGAAGAGATTTTCAAATGTTTATTTTTCAAATAAATATGAATTTTCAAACAAACTACAATTATGTTAGCTTTTAAAGGTTAGACTCTAAGTACAGATTTTAGCCAAAAATCCATAGAAAGTGTTTTTACTCTCTTACTAAACGGTCAAAACTTTTTGTTTTTGTATCATTTTGTATCTCTATATGACTGCTTTACCATATGTGAAAATAAGAAAAAGTTAAATATAGGGCGCATATAAAAATCACTTCGGATTAGCCAAAATCCATTTTTGTTAAACTATTTGTGTTAATTTGGTAATATCATCTTATAGACCCTACATGGTAATATCTTTTTAATATGCAAAAAGAAAAACATTTCATCTTTTGAAATAGAAGACCCTATATCATAATTGGATGCTATTATTTTTATTCTTAAGGACAAGGGTAAAGGTTATGACCTTGACCTGACCTTGACTCTCATATAAAATGGTCAAACTAATCTAATTAATACAATTACTCAATAATATTGTCTTCTTTGTTCTGTAAAAATTTCATCAATTTTTAAATACAACAAGAAATACATTTTTGTGTGAGAAGAATCCTACCTTAAATCGTAAATCAAATAGTACGAAAGCCCATTGAGCTAATTCAGGTAGGTTAAAAAAAATAAATTTTTCGCGTTATAACGCGAAACTTTCGCGAATAAACGCGTAACTTTTGCGATATTACGCGAAACTTTCGCGATATAACGCAAAACTTTCGCGAATAAACGCGTAACTTTCGCGTAATAACGCGAAACTTTTGCTGTTTAACCAAGACATTTGCTTAAATCTTAACTTTCTTTTGATTTTGTGATCAAGTTTATTTATTACAATGATAAGCAAAAGGCTATTTTAACTTGGACTATCACAATCTACAATTTTAAGTTTTCTTCCTATTGAATCCATCTTTATAATTACCGTCATAGATGGTCTTTCTCAGCGCTGTTCAAACAATTCAAAGATTATGCGAGTTTTCCAAAAGTTAAACTTCAATCCCTATTATTATAATTAAGATTATGAATTTCGGGGAAAATCACCCCTTTCCGGCGTCTTTTTTACGCACTCTCTAGAGAATTTGAAATAATTTTATTTTTATAAAGAAAAAGGTCTCCGAATTGTGAAAATTGGATAGTAGATTTTCATTTGTCTCCGTTGGATTCACTGTAGAAATACGATATCGGAAAAATATTGACAATTAATTCAAAGTGTACAAACTCTGCCGGATAAGGACAGGTGATACAAACAAACTTTTGTCAAATAATTTTAAATAACTACTTGGGTTATGTTTTAATGAATAAAATGAAAAAGTTTCACCGCGTAGTTTTTTAAATTCTAGTAAATTTTTTTTTACAAAAATAGGATTTGAAGTGAAAAATATTTGTAACGATTAATAAGGATGGTTTCAGAGAGGCAGACTTTTGAATATCATCAAGGTTTACAATTTCTTTATACTCTAGAAATATATTATTTGCATCATTTTTAATGAAATTAGGCCACTGAGAGTTCTTTTCTGTTTTCATGTTCTTATCTGTCAGTCAAGATCAAGGTTCCTGAGTAACATTATTATATACATATGTAATTATGCATATTATTTCGCGAAATAACGCGAAAGTTACGCGTTATATCGCGAAGGTTTCGCGTTTTATTGCAAAAGTTACGCGTTTATTCGCGAAAGTTACGCGTTATATCGCGAAAGTTTCGCGTTATAACGCGAAAAATTTATTTTTTTAACCTACCAAAATGAGCTCAATGGGCTTTCGTAAAATAGAAATATTCATAATAATTCAAATTAAAAAATACTGAAGTATAAACATACTTTTAACATTGCCGGAAATACACTCAATTCGCACTCTGGCACTGGTACTGCAAGCTCCGGGGCTAATCAAGCCAGATGAACATTCCGTTAACATTTTTTCTCTTCCAGAACATCTAATATTGTTCACTATGGGTTCTCCAAAGGCACTTGAATTTTCCCCATTCAAAGTTAAGGTAGCATATCTGTAATTGAGTAGTTGTATAATCATTAGTAAATTATGACATTCTTTATCGGTACGTCGATTACAAATGTAAAATATAAAGGTGAAAGAGAAATGAGATAACATCTATTAGTCACCATATAGCGTTTGATGTCTGTTAATATTCAATTAAATGTTCATTGATATTCACAGGTTACATGTAATAGTCTTTATTCGCGTAGCAGTTTTCAGAAGGATAGCTGTAGCTGTAGGTCAAGGTCTAGAGACAACCTCTAGTTATCTTAATCAGGTCAAAGCCAGATGAGATTATGAAATTTTTAACCATTTTGCTCAAAACGGTAGAGAGTTTAAAAGTCTATAATCAATGGTTAAGGTTCGTTTTATTTTTTCCATAAAACATGTAAAACTTGCTTCAAGAAAGTCCTGGGGATTTATATGAGTTTTATTTTATACACACACATTAATTTTAAAGCATGCGTTGTATATGATAATCTTGAGAGAGAGAGAGAGAGAGAGAGAGAGAGAGAGAGAGAGAGAGAGAAACAATAATATAAAGATTGAAGATATGTATACCCGGAGTAACCAAGACTTCTGCAAATAACTTTTGCATAGTTATCATCCCGTCCGACCTTACAAAGTGTTCTCCAAGTCCCATTTATATTTATTTTAGGTATAATTACATTCTTCTCTTGTGTAGAATATTCGTTTATATATCTAATCGTGTCTGAAAAATAGTAAAATGTGTCAATTAATCTTCCTATTATATATTATTTTCATTTAATAAAAACAAGAACATTCAATCTTGCTATGAAATTAAATACATTTTTAATGATAAATCATCCTTCAAACTCACCATTTATTGTATGGTAGCAAACCACCGCGGCCATTGCACTACTGTAATAGCTGCTGGATGGGTTGATTGATATGGGACAGTTTAATAAAAAATCTTCATCCCCTTCACAGTTAATAGCACCCAACATTAACGCATCTTCCCTATCGTCTACAAACATCAGCGATGAAACTGGAAATCCTCTGTAAAAAAGTGTAACATTATGACACTTACACTGAACACAAAGCAATATTGCCTCAATGTCACCCTTTTTTACACCCAAAAGGATGACTGCACTAAACTCTGGGTTTTGGGTTCTTTTCGATCACTTCTTTTGTTTTGTTTTTTCTTAACCTAATTTCAATTTAATTTGTTTATTAATTAAAAAATCTTTTCAATCTGGAACTAAATTTTAATGTTAAAATGATTAACAAATGTGATACAATGAAATAATTCTTTTTCTTTTGGTCCTGTTTCCAAAAAAGGAGAATTTACACTATCCTCTGTTAAAAATACTCGAAATTTCGTTTGCTAACACTAGAGCCAACACACTAAAATGGGTCTAAAAATTAGACTAGCATAAATAAAAAAAATGTATAGAAATAAATTCAGGATAATTCTTTAGGAATTTCTCTCTCTATTCTATATTTACATGTAAACTTTTTACAAGGGTTAACAATTTGACCACGTCCATGTAAGTTCAGCATAATATATTTTTATATGTAATAAATCAATTTAATGTGTTCGCACAAACAATTCTAGTCTAGTCTAAGGCATGCTACCTTAAAAGTCACGGAATTGAGTATCTATAAAGATATCTGAGATAAGAAACAACACGGTGAATCATAATATCAAACATGCCTCAACCTTTGGTGACAACAGCGAGAGCGAATGTAAATGGGTTATGTTTCCTTTTTTTCCTTTATATCATAAGCACATGTTTGCCTTTTGATCTCCATTTGACACAAGATTGTTAATGTGAATATTCAACTACTTTGAAAGGAGAACGATTGACAAACATGCCCTTAAGGGACTCCGACCCTCAGCCGGGAAGGACAACTCTTTAATTTATAATTTAATTCAAAAAGTCTTTAAATGAAGCTTGAAAATTAAATATTTTCATGCAACAATTTTCATTATATGCCTCTCAATGTGCTTCAAGGTTCTTTGCAAAGCTCCATAAATTACTTCTAATTTCATTTCATGTTTCTATCTCCTTTAAAAGGAGTGCTCCATATGAAAATATAGAAAATGATCAAATTTTAAAACTAAAATGTATGAATTTTTTCTTTGTGTAATGATAGTAGACAGCTTAAGTTACCGTATCTAAAAAAATAAATTAAATCTGGTGGTTAATTTGTGATTAATTTGTTGACCCCCAGCCTCCTTAATAAACATTTGGTATCTAAAAAAGCTTTTTCGGGATAAAAATTCCTGCTTTTAATTAGACCTTTCTGAGAAGTTCAAAGAACCTTGAAGCACATTGAGAGGCATATAATGACAATTGTTGCATGAAAATATTTAATTTTCAAGCTTCATTTAAAGACTTTTTGAATTAAATTATAAATTAAAGAGTTGTCCTTCCTGGCTGAGCGTCGGAGTCCCTTAATATGTACTGAGGCGTCCAGGGTCATCATTATCCTGTGAATTTTTAAGAAATCTTGATGACTTCAACCTATAACAACAGATTCGTTCTTCGTAAATACATACTTTTATTTAATGTAAATATATGTAAAGTTGCAGATTAGATGTTGACCATTCTTGCAATTAAAAAAGCTTGATTCGAAGGTTTATTTCGTCTCAATTTAGCATATCTTTGAGTTCAGTAATTTAATCGTAAGTTAGGTCAAATCAATCTTATAACCTAGTTACTGTTGAAAAAACATATATTACATACACGATCTAATAGCTACCAACGGTGCTAAACTGATGGTAAATTGAGAAGAAAGGATAACATACACTGACATTTATGCATACAAATATCAATTACTTTGACTTACATAAAATATCTTGTTTTTTCTTTAAAGAATCCGGTTTAATAAAGTAATGAACTAATTATTCAAAAAAACATTTAAACCTATTTATTCTATTGAAGAATACCCTGAATATCCCAAAGTTTTACAAGTCACATCAGCGTTACTTTTGTCCCATCCTTCCTTTGAGACTCTTTGCCATCGGTGATTCTTCAATACCTCAACTACGCCCTCATTTGGAGAGCTTCCACTAACAATTCTGACAATGCCTGAATAACAAATGAAAACATAGATAATAGATTCTTCTGACACATCTGTTTCATATATTGATATTTTACTTGAAAAAGACACTAATGGTAATCTAACAACCAATCTCTATGATTAACGTGATGACTTTAACTTTTCTATCGTCAACTTCCCTTACTTATGCAGCAATATACCTTCATCACGTGCATACGGAGTATATATATCTCAGTTGATTCGATACACAGGAGCATGCTCTACGTATGAATATATTCTAAAACGAATTTAATTTTTGACAAGCAAGTTTATGAAACAAGAATCTCAGTAGTCTCATTTAAAATCATCATTTCGTAAGTTCTATGGTCGATACAATGACCTTGTCAGCAAATACAATTCATCATTGAGTCAATTGGTGACTTGTTAGTCCATTATTTATACACTGAATAAAAGACGAGTTTTCCTGTTATTTCCTAATTATGACAAGGAGCACACGTTGAGTGTGACCGGTCAGCAGGGGAAGCTCACTCCTCCATGGCAACTGATATCACTTCAGGTCCGTATTTACTCTTCTCCTGTTTTGTATTGTTTTATGGAATTTTTATGTTTAATATAGTTCGTTATCTCCACATGTTTCATTCATTACAATGAATTCTAGGATGATTAAAATCTCCTAAATTTACCATTTACTATGTGGTTATAACAAATAACTCCCGCCTCTCGGCCAGAACTACAAGTCGTGGATCCTCGGGCTGTACATTCAAACAAATAATCTTCATCTCCATTACAATTCACGCGGTCTAAGAACCAAATGGTTTTACTCTTCTTTTCTCTGGCTGGCAGTGAGGTTGGAAAACCTCTACAAATAATATATTGAAGGAGGTATATTAAATTCACAATTTTAACATTATACGAACGTTAAGCATTCATAAAAAGAAACATTATACGACACAATCCATCAAAGTCAGCGAAATAGAACTTATGTTATAGGCTGCCAGCAAATGTTATGTTTATTTACTTAATATTAAAAAAAACAGCCCACGGTTTTTCACAATATTTCTTTCAACAGAAAAAAACGGGAACTTTAGAAATGCCGAAGAAAATCGTAAACATTAACACATAGTTAAGTGAAAAAAAAAATTATTTGATTAAACACCCAAAGATTACCCTAAAAACCCTAGGTTCCGACATGTAACATCTGTGTCATTTTTGTCCCAGTAGGTGCTGCACACTTTTCGCCATCGGTCATAAACCAAAACCTCAACACGACCTTCATCTGGAAAGCTGCCATCAACAATTCTTACTCTGCCTGTAATATAAGTAATAGGGAATTAATAGATTCTAGTATAAAGTAACAAAATATGGGATAAATAAATTATTCATATCTAACCTTTTACAGTGTAGTAACACATAACTCCCGCTAAGTTACAACTGCTGGATCCTGATCTTGCACATTTTAACAAGGAATCCTCATTTCCATTACAACTCATGCTGTTTAAGGACCATGTTTTCTTCTGTCTGTTTAGATAAATCGATGGGGAGACCGGAAATCCTCTAAGAACATATTAAAATTGTTTTTATTTTTCCTGAATTTTGAAGAAATTGGTTCTTTCTTTATATCTACGACTCAGGAGAAAAAACATTCACCATGCATCGGACACCCTTGTACGTAAAGTAAGTTTTGTACGGTATCAATTTTTATGCACCGGAAGTGTTTTTTGACAAACGTTGGAAATCCAATATGTTTCAATAAAGAAAACTCTGAAGAGCTGATAAAGGTTGTCAAAAACTGGATCCAAATACTTCATAGGATCAGAGTTAAATATGAATAATCCTAAATTCTGAAATAATTTTCGAAATTTTACCACATGCAGCAATTAACTTTATCTGTATTTGCAGGCTAGTTCCGAAATACTTGCTGTAGAGAGGTTCTAGCGGTATTATCAGAATAGAACTTATTAGGTATTATATAATTTTATGTTATCGAAATATGAATGTGTGACACAATCTTATATTCTTAATTGAGAAAATATGATTAAAAAGAAGATATTTGTGAATTAGCCAGAATTCCCCACAGATCGGATAGGACTTTCCATGCATCAGACAAACGGTATAATAGTTTAAGTATCAGTCACATTATCCAGCGATGGGGTATACGATGAGAAACTGATGTGTTTTTGGATAAAAATGGCGTGATTGCCGGCCGGACAACTATAGTAATCGGACGGTGACTGAGGCTATCTGGCGAAGCGGTGGGGGTCATCGGTAGAAAATGAGTTGTAGATAAAATCAGCGATGACTCCACCGAAGCCCAACATCGCTATTCATCGGTAACCCATCATTAACATATCTTTCAAGTGTCCGTTGAATCTGAGGTCATCAGGGGGTTGAGTGGTGGGCAACAGACATCGGCTTATCATCGGTCGCTGTTTGACCTGCAACATTTTTTTATCCTTAATAATGCATAGCTGGATCTTTGTAAGTCTGACCGGTGTCGCATAATATTTAGTCCGCCTCGTTTAAAGGTCCGGCCGGACCTAATACGATATCATATTTGGTCCGCCTTTTATAAGAAAAGGTCCGGCCCGTATAAGAAAAGGTCCCCCTGCGTTTTAAGGTCCGGGTGGTGCAAAATGTTTTAATCTTGACTTTAACATATGAAATTAAGGCTACCGGGTAGTTTGTTTATACTATATGATGAGAGAAGGATTAACCCTGTTGTGTTTTATTTTTTGTACAACATACAAGTATCTCTAGATAAGAATCTACTCGTATAGTGTGCTTTAAGCAGTGCCGTTTAGGGCCATGATTTCTTTAAAAATCATGCCACAATTATTTTGCAAGTGTTTGTTTTTCCTTAGAATTTGCTATTTGTAAATTAGTACGATTAAAGGTGTGAAATCTGTCGGTGTGTATAGCTAATAAAACAATGGGTGTGTGACGTAGGTGTGTTCCCGTTTTGCACACATTTGGTAATTAGCATAGAACAACAGGTGTGAAGTGTGTTTTGATAGCAATTATAGTCTGATTTCTGGTTTGGATTTACATGTGAATATCTGATTTAGCTTAATGTATTCTTATGAGGTTTAATACAATTTTATAAGCATTTTATTAAAATTCCATATATATTCATGGGAAAATATTTGATTTTATTGAATAAATTATTAATATTTGTTTCATATTATTTATCATTAAGTCCAATTTCTTAAAAAAAGAATATGTACTTTTCAATCTTGATATAATTCTAAATGAATCAAAGATATAACATATAATAAAGAAAATAGTGAATAAAAATTAATTTGAAAAGATGTTATAATAAGATCATCAGATAATCAAATACATTAACTTTGTATTTATTCTCTTATTTTTTTCACAATAAGTTCATCTTTCACATACTTACTAAGCTAAGTACATGAATAGTATAGACTATAGCAATTAAGTAATTATTTCACCCGGTCAAATTCCCGTTTTTCACACATTTTTTAATTACCTGTAATCAAATGTGTGCAAAACGGGAACAAACCGTGACGTATTTGTTTACCTGACAGGTACCCACCGTACCCACAGCTAGAGTCCGCGGCAAATGGCGCTGTCATTGAATGGTCGGTGAACCTAATGGTCATGTGTACCTAATGGTACATATTAATAGATCTTATTTTTTAATTAAAAATATTATGCCAAGAAACCAAATATTCAGGCGTACACTTCAAAACTGCGACATTTTTGATAATTATAACCATACATGCATGTATAATCTTTATTTGAATATTTAAAGCTAAATATGGCGTATCTGAGCTAAAAATTAAAAGTACAAGATTAAGCATAGATTTACATGAGATTTGGTTTTTAGGTTCAAATTAAAAATTTCACCGATATTGAACTTAAATATCCCCACGTTTCTATTAGTTAAATTCCAACTAATTGAATTAAAACTGTGTCTGATATTTAAATTCCGAGTCGATAAGAATCGGCCATTGTTTTAAATCTCGGATATCTATGAAACGCGATTGATTTAAATTGTTTGATTTTCATAAAATGTTTCAGTCTGCATTCCATATAGGATTTTTTTTTTTTTTTTTTGTGTTGAAATTTTAAACTTTTTATTTCCGACATTTTAAGCTTTCATTTTCGACATTCTGAAGTGTTAATCTCCGACATTTTTTCAGGAATTTTGTGCTTTCCTGTAATGAAAAATTTTTAAGAATAAATTTATTATAGACTGTTTAGTAAATCAATGTTCAGCGCAGTCTTTGACATTTAATTTAGTGAACATTAAATGCGATGAAAAAATTGCATGCTCATTAAACTCTGTTAACTAGACTTAATGCTTCATGTACAGAAACATGTACACAGAACTTTTATATTAAAATGTTGTGTATAATAAATTCTTTCAAAATTCCATTTCTACATACATGTACCTGGTAATCATTAAATTGCTGTAGAAGTACCTTGAAAAAATTCCAGAAATGAAAAGAAATAAATGTCAGAAAAGAAAAGAGAAATTGTCGGAAATGAAATAAAGAAATGGCGGAAATGCCATGCCGATTTCCGGAAATGAAATGCAGCGGTCCTATCTTTACAGTGGTATATAAAGTACCAAAACAAATAAAAAGATATTTTTTTTTTATATTTTTAGTCTGAACTTGTAAAAAAAAAACGCCTTTTATGACTTTAAAGTTTTTAAACGCAGTATTATATAAGGTCCGCCCTATGCATTTCATATATCTCCATAGCTGCAGATCTGTAGCTCTCCGAAAAAATATATTGATACACCGGAGAGCTACAGTGCCACCCATTGAAAAAACTATATTTATTGCGCACAAAAAAGTGCGCTCGGTTCTTGATTAAATCTTCCAAATTCTTACCTCAATTTCAAAAAAGGAAAGATTTTAAAAAATGCCTTTATCCTCTATCAAGTACTCTCGTAGTTGACATTTGAACGAAGCATATTGGACCGAATTATCTTTGAAACTAAAATGGCAGTATAAATAGCGAAATGGAGGACTATTAACAGCAATTATGAGGAATGTTTGGTTTTGGAAACGGCGAAAGAATATGTTAGGAACACACGATTAGTAATGTTTTTAAAAAATGGAGAAAAAAATCGAGAACCGAGCGCACTTTTTTGTGCGCAATAAATATACAGTTTTTTCAATGGGTGGCACTGTAGCTCTCCGATCTATCAATATTTTCATTTTCGGAGAGCTACAGATCTCCGGTCTATCAATATTTTTTTTTCGGAGAGCTACAGATCTGCAGCTAATATCTTCATGTCATAAAGTGAAATTTTTGGACTGGGTTTATTTTCGTAGCTTGAAAACTAAAAAAAAAAAAAAATAGACAGGGCGGACCTTAAAACGCAGTTATAAGAAAAGGTCCGCCTTCTGTATTTCAGATATATTCATGTCATAAAGAGAAACTTTTTGGACAGAGTTTATTTTTGTAGCTTGAAAACTAGAAAAATGGACAGTGCGGACCTTAAAACGCAGTGGAAATGGTCCGCCCTCTGTATTTCAGATATTTTTATGTTATGAAGGGAAATTTTTGGACAGGTTTTATTCTCGTAACTTCCAAAACTTGAAAAATAGACAGGGCGGACCTTAAAACGCAGTTATAAGAAAAGGTCCGCCCTCTGTATTTCAGATATTTTTATGTTATGAAGGGAAATTTTTGGACAGGGTTTATTTTCGTAGCTTAAAAACTAAAAAATAGACAGAGCGGACCTTAAAACGCAGTTATAAGAAAAGGTCCGCCCTCTGTATTAGAGATATTTTTATGTTATGAAGGGAAATTTTTGGACAGGGTTTATTTTCGTAGCTTAAAAAAACTGGAAAAATAGACAGGGCGGACCTTAAAACGCAGTTATCAGAAAAGGTCCGCCGTCTGTATTTCAGATATATTCATGTCATAAAGGGAAATTTTCGGACTGGGTTTATTTTCGTAGCTTAAAAAACTACGGAAAGAGACAGGGCGGACCTTAAAACGTAGTTACCAGAAAAGGTCCGCCCTCTGTATTTCAGATATATTCATGTCATAAAGAGAAATTTTTGGACAGGGTTTATTTTCGTAGCTTGAAAACTAGGGAAAGCGACAGGGCGGACCTTAAAACGCAGTTATCAGAAAAGGTCCGCCCTCTGTATTTCAGATATTTTTATGTTATGAAGGGAAATTTTCGGACTGGGTTTATTTTCGTAGCTTAAAAAACTAGGGAAAGAGACAGGGCGGACCTTAAAACGTAGTTACCAGAAAAGGTCCGCCCTCTGTATTTCAGATATTTTTATGTTATGAAGGGAAATTTTCGGACTGGGTTTATTTTCGTAGCTTAAAAAACTAGGGAAAGCGACAGGGCGGACCTTAAAACGCAGTTATCAGAAAAGGTCCGCCCTCTGTATTTCAGATATTTTTATGTTATGAAGGGAAATTTTCGGACTGGGTTTATTTCCGTAGCTTAAAAAACTAGGGAAAGCGACAGGGCGGACCTTAAAACGCAGTTATCAGAAAAGGTCCGCCCTCTGTATTTCAGATATATTCATGTCATAAAGAGAAATTTTTGGACAGGGTTTATTTTCGTAGCTTGAAAACTAGAAAAATAGACAGGGCGGACCTTAAAACGCAGTTATCAGAAAAGGTCCGCCTTCTGTATTTTAAATATTTTTATATTAGAAAGAGAAATTTTTTGGACAGGGTTTATTTTCGTAACTTGAAAACTAGAGATTAGAACTTTTTTAGTGTGCAGTGTTTAGAACTTCCTTAATTAATATTTTAAGTACCATCCTAATAGTGTGCAAATTTCCTACTTTCACACAAGCTTTATAAATGTATTATACGTCTTTTGCCATTCACACAAGTTTGTACAAAGTTAGGCCATAGTAAACAAATTTATGGTTTTGTTCTTTATATTTCGTGAATTTCAGCGTTAAAAATTGTTGAATCGTATGGTTTAGATATCAATTAATGATTGATCAATTAATGATTTGATATGAAAAATTTGCTATCTTTGTTTATTTTTTCACATTTTACCAATGCCCATAAGTGCATTCATTCTTTTCTGAAATTGTGTGTCTTTAAACTCAAGCTCTTTATATGTACAATATCGGTATACTTTAAAACTTTAAACTTTTTTGACAGGTATCTGCATGATTTTACTACACTCCATTACCCCCCCCCCCCCTAAAAAAAAAACATTTAGGAGGGGGGTATAAAATGTTCGGATTTTTATTGAAACCGAAACCGAGAGACATAAGTATAAATAATATATCATAAATGTAGTGCACAGAGATTTTATGTGAGCAACATGTATATTAAATATGAAAAATAAAGGCATTTATAAATCCATCAATTTATCGACTTAATTTGGTTTGATTTCGCCAATTAATGCACATTTACCTTGTCCTGGAGTAATATTTAGTAGGCCGCATTTCATTTCCGGAATTTCCTGAACTTTTCATTTCCGACATTTTTAAGTTTTTACATTTTAAAAGTTTTCATCTCCGACATTTGTCAAATTCATGTCAGTACTTTTTCGTAAATGAAAAAAGAATTCATGCATCCGTTATAAAAATCCTTAAGGTAAAATATCTTAGATAATTTATTCAAAAAAAAGACTTTGCTCTTAGCTGTCAAAGAAACTTAATTGATTTTACCCTGGAACAGATGTAGGTACATGTATTGTGAATGTGAAGTTTCACTTAACTGTTTCCTTTACTTATTAACGGTCTTAATATTGTTTACTTCTACTACTACTACTACTACTAGAAGTAAACAATATTAAATGTTAAATTTAAATTGCCGTAAAGGTATCCTAAAAAATCCGAAAATGTGAAAAAAAAAGAAATAAATAATGTCGAAAATGAAAATAAAATTGTCGGATTCCGAAATAATAACAAAAATTGTCGGCAGTGTTAAATTCAGGAAATGAAATGTAGAGATCTAGTAGATATAATAATTAGCCTTTGAATAGGTTAGAAACAGTGTTAACTTATAAAAAACACAGGGGATATGGTACTTTAGGTTTTCTCAAACGAAACAATTATAGGCTAACCCCCAACTGCCCAATCCGTAGGCATGTTGTTTTTACAATAAGGGGTGTAGGGTAGTACACTGTGACATAAGCCCCTGTCACAGCTAGTGACCCTCCAGTTATTTACAACAATATTAAACGTAAAGAATGACAGATTTCTTTTATCAATACTATAAAGAAATACATTTTGAAAGATGTGAACTTCAGTTTTTGTGAGTGGATTAGTCAAACGTTTATCATGTTTATAGGAAAGAGAGTGTAACTAAATGATTCGTGTTGGACTTACGAACATTTATCTGTTCATTCAATACTGATTAATCTGCTAGTAAACAAGGCGATGAAGGTAAATGTATATGTACATTTGTATTCTTAATATTTTTTTCTGATAATGTTGACATTAGTGTATTAATTAGTGTATTAATTTAAACGACAAAAGAAGCATGTCCTATCTTCCCGACAGGAAACCCGATCAATAAATCTAAACATTCCTTTATTAATTTCGATTTCTTACTTATTGTTTACTACATTTTCTTGGAGAAAACACTAGCTATTAATACGACTTTATATCCTTAATTAATTTTAAAAGAATAGTTTTTCAATCAATATCGAATGAACCACATGCATACAATTTGTATAGCCGAGGACGGACCTTTTCTTATAGAGCCAGGCGGACCAAATATGTTATCGTATTTGGTCCGGCCGGACCTTTAAACGAGGCGGACCAAATATTATGCGACACCGGCAACTACGCCATTTTCATCAAAAACGTATTGATTGCCCATCGTATACCCCATAGCTGGATAAGGTGACTGATACTTTGAGGACTACTAGGCCGATGTGGACCGATGTTGGGGCATCGCTGACACCACGGATACCATCAATTACCACCGGCCTGGAAATGTGACGAAAACATAATACGAGAAACGCCTTACTTTAATGACCTATAAAATACATAAAATGTTTAAAATTGATTAAGATGAAATATTTTTATGGTTCAGTAAATAAATCACTTTCTATTTTAATTTGATTGACTACTAGTATATCAATCTACGAATGTCTAGTAATTTTAGTTGCATCTCTTCCCGTTAGATAAGTCTTCCAATGTCGCTATAAAATTCATTTTAAGGTGGAATGCCACACCAGCTTTTTATTTTATAGATCTTTGAGCCATTCTTTTAAAACAAGGGTTTTAGCATTGAAAGGTCGGTATTAGCTCTTAATTATTTTATATGAATTTTTTTGTATTTTTTCAAAGAAAATGAAAAACATTAACTAAATTCAACCAAGATGTTTTCGAGTGAAAAGTTTGTTGTAAATAAATGTATCATATTAATATCTAATAAAATATGTAAAGAAAGGGTTGTTAGACTTTTTAATTTTTTTTCAGAAAAAAATATTTATGAAAATAAAACACATTATATGTGAATATATTTTAAACATATGGTTAAAATCACCATAAAACTAGTCACAATTGAGCAAAATATGTTTGTCAATCATATTTTTAAAAGAAATTGAAACGAAATTAATTTTTTAATATTTCGACCTAACCCGATTAAAATTAAACTGACGCCGATCAAAATTAATACAAAATTAATAAAATGCTAATTTAATGTATTTACAATGAAGAAATCTATTTCATTATCAGGTTCATTAATGTTTTAACCCTTGTTACACTTAATCAGACTAGTGTTCTGGGGGAAATGAATTTATTTCCAATAAATATACAATTATGGTTGGGATCGGTTTAATTTTGATCGGGATCGGCCAAAATTTAAAAAAAAATTAATTTCTCTTAAATTTGGCCATTTCGTTACAATTTCTTTTATAAATATAATTAATGAACATGTTCTCCCAAGTTGTGACTGGTTTTAAGAAAATTTTAACCACAAATTAAAAAAATATTCACAAATTATGTGTTTTATTTTCATAAATATATTTTTATTTTTAAAAAAAATAATATCTATAAGCCTTTTCTATACATATTTTATTAGATATTAATGTGATGCATTAATATACAGCGAAAATTTTACAATAAAGCGTCTTATGTTGATGGAATTTTTTTTTTTTCATTTTCTTTGAAAAAATACAAAAAATTTCATGTAAAATAATTGAGAGCTAATGTCGGCCTTTCAATGCTAAAACAATTGTTGAAAAAGGTTGACTCACAGATCTATAAAATAAAAATTTGGTGTGGCATTCCTCCTTAATTGTATTATGTACAAGAAGTGGTCTAAGAGTGTTGCGTGAGAAATTCTACATACAGTTCCTTACCAGCAAAGTAATATTGATACTCTTTAAAAGCTGTAATTTCGCCAATATCCGTTGAAGCGGAACAGTATACAAACTGTAACTCATCTTATTACGAATAAAAGATAACTGTAGCAAATCAAACAATCCCTAATTCCATTTTAGAAAATCGCATGTTTTCTTTTTGCATAAAAGATCCTACAATATGGGACCTACGAGATGATATTACAAAACTCACAAAAATAATTTAACTTAAATAGATATTTGCTATCCAAATTTTATCTACTTTCCTTTTAGGATATATAAGATATTTTCAAATGATTCCTATATTTAATTTTTATCTTATTTTTACACATAGTATAGTTGTCACATAAAGATAAACATGATACAAAAACAAAAAGTTTTGATCGTAAACTTTACTAAGAAAGAAAAAAATACTTTTTACGGATCTTTGGCTCAAACCTGTACTTAGATCGGAAGCTTTTTAAAGCTAACATAGTGCTAGTTTGTTTGAAAAAATCATATTTATTTGATATTTTTTGAAATGTTAGTTCCTTATTGTAAATTCAAATTACAATTGTAAATTTCTTCAAGTCTTTGATTGTGTAAAAATTATAGGTAAATCCATTGTTCTTTAATAAATTAAGAGGCAGAAAAGAAGATATTTTATGTGTCACCAGTCCACTAGAAATATAGTCCCTGTTTGTTTTTAAACACAGTTAACCATTTCTATTTAAAGTTCTTCAATTGTGAAAACTAAAGAATAAAGACCGGGCGTATTTCATAGCGGTCCGGATTTCTTTCTATAATAGTGTTTATAGAAATGTCCAATTCAGCATGTAACTATGTAAATATATAGTGCTTAGTAGTTTAGTAATAGTGCTAGTTGTTTAAAAAACTACATTACCTATAGCAAAAATTTATCTGTAATTACCCTGAATATCCCACATTTCTACATGCCATACTTGCAGCAGCTTTGTCCCACCCATTACTGCATACACCTCGCCATTGGTCATTGACCAGAACCTCTACTAGTCCCTCATCTGGAGAACTACCACTCATTAGTCTTACTTTACCTGAAATACAAATGGTAACACTATTAATAGATTCACAAAGAAGAATTCAGTTTTCAATAGCGAATAAATCTGAATACTCACTATTTAATGTTTGGAAACATATTACTCCAGCCTCATAGTTACAACTGGTGGTTATAGATCTTGCACACTTTAGCAAGGAATCTTCATTTCCGTTACAACCCATGTTATACAAGAACCAATTTTCTTTTGTCCGATTTATACTTGTGGGCAATGAAACTGGAAAACCTCTACAAAAAGATATTTTGTCATTACTTCTTTTTATGGAAGAAATTTTTCTTTAAAATTCATATTGAAGTCTTCAAATCACATATATTTACATGTAAAAAGGATTTATATGAAATTTTCCAATAAAAACTTGTTTGTAGAATCTTAGTCTTAGAAAAAATATTCATTAGAGTTACTTTAAGGATAATAATTAGCATGTACAATGTTTTGTATATACATAATTGATAAATTATTGAGTGGATTTTACGCAATTCCAAATGTGCTTGATATTAATATTTATATAGGCGTAAAGACATTTAGCTATGGTTTTCATTAAGAAAATATTGATTACGAAAATATAGAAACTCATGCGAAATAAAATAATATCATAAACTTTAAGGTTGAAATTTATATTCCTCAGTCACAAATTACAACAAATATCCTAGATAAATACATGTATGATAACATTTAAGATTTTAGAATCTATATTTCAGAATCAAATTTACCCCAAATATCCTAGACTCCTACAAGCTACACGAGCATCATTATTGTCCCAGTAGGAAGAACACACCGGTCTCCATCGGCTATTTACCAGAACCTCCACTCGTCCCTCATCTGACGAGCTACCATTGACAAGTCTAACTGTACCTTATGTACAAATTAAAAGAATGTGAATAGATTCACTGAGAGGAATTCAGAATTCTGTAGTGAACAAATCTCCACACTCACTATTTAATGTTTGGTAACACAGGACTCCAGCCTCAGAGCTACAGCTGGTGGATACAGATCTTGCACATTTTAACAAGGAATCCTCATATCCATTACAACTCATTTCATATAAGAACCAGTTGTCTTTCCTCCGAGATACAGTTGTTGGCAATGAAACTGAAAAACCTCTACAAAAAATGTTTCCATACTTTTTTTATGGGAAAATTTTCAAATTGATTTCGAAGTGTCA